CATTTAATTATCTTAACCGATGATGCATGTCTGATCATTGGCTGGTTTTGCGGCTTCAACTTTCGGTTTCACTGAAAAAGAAAAGTAAAGTATTGTAAATTAAAGAAGAGAACATATATACCTCCGACGTGGAGTTTAGCAGTTTGTTCAGTATGATCGATTCCATTATCGATGAGTACACGATATGTACCAACATCAGGATGATCACATTTACTGACAGTTAGGGAAAATACATTTTGTTTTGCTTCAACCTTATGTTTTGGAGAGTTTTTCAGTTCAGTGTCGTTGAAGAACCTTTAAAATAGTTGCCGAACGAATGTAAAATAAAGTTTCATTGTTTTCTTTAACTTACCAAGTAACTTTTGGTGCTGGAAATGCGTCACAGGTAATCTGTAAAGTTCCGTTTTGGCCAAGTAATACATTGGCGTCAATGAGTGATTGTGTTATGTTCAAGGGCGCTAGAAAAAGGAGATGACGTTACTATGTTGCTATAGTGTTTAAGTTAATGGCCCCCCTCAAAAAATTCACTTTTGGTCAGAAGTATTGAAACTGAGATAAATACATAGGGAGATAGCCCGTGATCTGCTCTTTCAGAAACGACAAAAATTTTCTTTCAGTAGTTCCGTTTTTCCAGAAAAATTTTCAACATTTTCGTCATCCGCTATTCGAAAAAAAAAACTTTTTTTAGAGCAGATCTCTCCGTTTCGGCTCACAGAATCAATTTCGTCATAATGCTCGAAATTGAAAGAAATACATGGGAAGATAGACCTTGATCTGCTCTTTCAGGAAGGAAAAAATTTTTCTTCAGTACTTCAGTTTTTCCGTGAAATTTCCAAGGTTTTCCTCACCCTCTATGAAAAAAAATAAGCTGTTTTTAGAAAAAAACCAAAAAGATTTTCGATTTTTTCTCAACTACTACTTTCCAAAAAGGGCATCCCAAATTTCTCCTCCCCGGTTCGTTCAATATATTAATATTTTTTTTTTGTTGGAAAGAGCATCTCAAGACACAGGGCATGACATTGCCCTTTTTTAACATAGGTCTTTGTTTGTTCAATATGTAGTTATGTA